ACAGTATTATTTCCATTCATTTACTGCCTTGAGGACCTGATGTAACAAGATATGAGAAACTCCCACTGACTTCAGGGTGACATGTGAGCATCCTTCAGGAGATGATCAGCATCTCATAGCATTGGGTGCTGGTGCTGCTACACTGCTTTTCTGTTGGTCTTATATATGACTAAGGTACCTATTCTCCAGTAAGGGTTCCTCAGAAGGGGATAATACTTCATGATTAATCTCTCCCCATGACATAAATGTCATGTGAAAACAAGGATGGTCTTGAGAAGTCCCAAGAGCTTTTACTATCACCCTGTTCTCTCTTCAGCTTGACTTAGTTTCCCCCATCCTACATATCACTAGAAACCTTTTTCTTGAAATTGGTGTGATACACAAGTCAAAGGGAAGCTAGCTACTACTTTTTCCTCCACTCATGTATTCTTTCTCCCTCCTTTTTCTAATCACAGTTTCACTTTCAGGGTAAGGAAAATTGGAATTATCCACAGCTAGGTAGCATCGTATGTCTGTATTGTTCCCATCATTGGCTATGTCTAGACTACACCGAAGTTCCGAAAGAGGATATGCAAATTCCCTGGGAATTTGCATATCTTCTTCCTATCTCACTTTCAAAAGTAGTAGTCAGGACACGGGTTTTTTTGGTTTCAAAAAGCTGCATGATCCTCATTTTTTGAGGAAAAGCGGCTTTTTGAAAAATGGGGTGTTGCTAAAAAAACGCTTCCCGACTACTTTCACGTTCGAAAGCTCCTCTTTTGGAACTTCAGCGTAATCTAGACGAGCCCAATTGTGTTCCCCCTTTAGTATAGGATGCTATACTTTAGTATAGGATGCTCTTAGTCCTATCCTTTATGCTGGTACATAGAAATTGTTCTACCAGCCACTTTTCTTTCCCTGGGAAGACTCACAAGAACAGTGTACACAGAGAAATTAGGTTTGCTATTTATAACTCTTTGCTTTACTGCCTTCCTTTGGAAGAAGGCCATCTGAAGTTATTCCACTGATGTTATATGGTTGTTTTTTCAGGTTTTCCAGCAACATAAAACACAGGAGGATGTGTGCCAGCTAAGTATTGGTATCATACAGGTAATTTTAAAATGGAATTGAGGAGCATAAATGAGTGATTAAAGTCTTACTTTGTATCCATCCCTCCTTCCCCCAAAAGTGATAAGATGTCATATGCTGTTTAAATCAGATCATCTAGACGTTAAGTATTATCTTATCTTCAAATGACAGTAACTCTTAAGGATAATGATGCTTAATGCTTCCTGGGATTTTAAGATCCTGATTCATCAGAGCACTTAAATTCCTTAAGCACTAGCTTTATGTCAAACATTTTCTGGGTTATCAGTTATATATTTTAAAGATTAATTTAAAATTTGGTTGCAAAGAGCACTGGATTTTAATACAAAACTAAGGCTTAGCTCCTGAGCTGGTATAAATTGGCATAGTTCAGTTACAATCAGTGGAGATGCCAGTTTACAGCTGAATTTCTGGATTTTAGTTTCCTATTAGAAACCGGTGCTCTTTGCAGTAAATTTCTAAGGTAATCTTTTAAGTATATAATGAATAATACAGAAAATAATTTAAAATAATAAAGCAATACCCAGAAATTTAAAAAATTGTTTATATTGTGCTATCAGATGGAATGTCAGAAATCAAACTATGATGCCTAAGAGACATTGCTTTGGAGTCTCTATGTAAGCATTTTAAAGATTCAGTCATTGCAAACCAATGGACCTCCTGTCCTATGATTTCAACACTAATTTGGGAGGTCATTTAGGAAGAAGAGAGTTGGTACAAAGAAATAGCACAGAACTTTTTTTCCACAAAAAAACAAAGACTAACAAGATAATGAAAACATTTACAGAGTTTAATTTAAAACTCTACTGTTCTCAATTATTTGAGGTTTGAGAAAAATTGGGGTATTTGTGATTACTATGGTTATATCAGCTGCAATTAAAATACATACACTTAAGAAAAGTTGAAATACTTGATAGTTTTTGTACTAGTAGCTAAGCTCTGATGGGAAAATTCATAATTGTCTTTAATTATTTGATAGGTTTTCATAGATTGTCTGGAACAACTGAGCACCAAGCCTGATGGTGATATAGATACCACACAGTAAGTAAAATAACACAGAATATTTGAAGTTGCAAATTTCAACATAAAATTTTTTGGGTTTTACTATAGCATTTTCTTTATCAATATTCCTTAGCTATTTGAATTAAATAGCATTTGTGAATAATTTTTGGCTCTGACCAAAAATGCTATGGAGCCAAGTAGGATGTTTCTACATCAAAAAAGTGTGACTGATATTGAATAAGGCAATGAAATGTAATGAATATTAAAAAATTGTTTTTTTAGTAGCTATTATAACGTTTAATGAAAGCTAGCTTATTCAATATCCCTCCAAAGGGATTCCAAAGGGAATCATCATTCTAAAGGTTGTAACTGTTACACCAGACCAGCCCATTTTTGTTTCAAGGGTTATAACTATGCCTGGAGGTTTTAGTCACATTTATGACTTCCAAGAAATTTGTATGAATGAAGTTGCCCCTGTCACTGAATAACATCTACCAAAGAGAAATGGCATTTGCCTTCCCTCTTAAGCATTATCCTAGCTCTATTTACATATCGACTACAATGTTGACAGTTTTGCTTTTATTCCATGAACCACTAATTTCAGAGATCTAAGGAGTCATAAGAACCTGAATTTCTAAGGTAAATTAGAAACTTATCTTGATAAAACAAAAAACCAGAAAATATTGCATGGATTTGCCAGGTTGTTTAGCACAGGGATTAAAACTGCATCCTGAAACACCCCTTTTATTTTTTCTCTTTACTTGGTTTTATCTTTAGTTGATGTATAAGAGTAGAGAACAAATGATTTTATTGCAAATCAAATAGAGTGCAGAAAGGTGCAACTTTGCCTTCCTCCCCAGTCTCCCAACATAATTGCTAGAATATCAGTACCTGTTTCCAAAGCTCTTCATCAGTTTGTGGGTGATTTAGCAAAGCTCTACAGCTCATTCTGTCTTCTATTCCATAGTATGAAATGCTTTGATGCAGCTCTCCAAATTTTTCTATAGTCTTTGCAGTTGAACCCAGCACTATAGCTGGTCAAAATACTTTCCGCTAAATATTTTCCATCAAAGCCATATTGATTTTGACTGACTCTCGGAGAGAGAAACCCAAACTGAAGACCAGATAATTTGCATTTTAAAAATGGAATTTAAACCCAATTCCATTTTGCAAATATGCTTTAAAGGTTTGATTGTATTGCATTTGGAATTTTGTTCCACGTGTGAAAACCTTGAAAGTTTTCAAGAAGCAGACATGTCAATCTCTACGAAGCACACATCACAGCTGATTTGTAAATGCTTAGAGCAAAAAGAATAATCTCCTGTTCACTTTTTTCAAAATATTTCAGTCTTTCAGTTGATGTTTCATCTCCCGATTTATTTGGAAGCATTCATGAGGATTCTAGTTTATCTTCCGTAAGTATGGCTTGTTGCGGTAAAATGAAAGGTTGAATAAGGCTTTTATCTTTTACTGAGTGTCTTTTGTAATGCATTTGTGTGTTCCTAAGTTATTTTTTACAAAGTAATATAAAACTTTACTAACTGCAAGATTATCAGAAAAGCTAATATTATAGTTATCTTGAGCTTCAGATTGGTGGACATTCCGTGTATTTCCTATAGAATCTTACTCACCAATTTTATTTTAAAAATAAGAAATGTTAGGGCTGTACGCTCTCTGTGTATAAACTGGCGTAGTTCTGACATCAGCAAAGGTAGCATTAATTATATCAATTGAGATCAGACCTTCGATGTTTAATTAAAACTCAAGTGACAATAGCCAGATACCTAAGACAGATCATTAAATTTCATTTTTTATAACAGAGATAAATGTATTAAATAATGTAGTTTGCTTTGGTAAGTCATCGTACTTATAACAGAACATTCTGTGATGAATGAGAGACCAGACATGTTGTTGTTTTTTCCATAAAATTCCGAATGTTGCATTTTTGGGGGGTTCAAGTTACACTCTAAGTTATTTATTCCCATAAAGCACATGCCCCCATAAAAGGACTGTGGAAACATGCAACATTATGCTCCTATGAGAATGAATTTG